TATTGAGCTATTACATTTCAGGTAAAATTAATATTATTGGCTTATTAATTACGTAGTACATTAAAGAAGAGAAAATTTCAATTTTGGTCCATTGATTATTGGAGTTGTGTTAATTGCAACACTTGACTTTCAAAAAATATTAATTTAGTACCTTGACTATGTAATTTCTATCAATTTTGGTCACGCACGCCGGCCAAATTGCCGGCCAAATCTCACCAGAAAAATTTAATAAGTCAAATAATGAGGGTATTTTAGTCATTTTACTATCTTTTGTTTCTTCTCCAATCAGCTTCTCCCCATTTCCGGCTTCTCCGATGAGCTTTCTTGTTTTCTTTCCCTATTACTTCTCTCATATTTTACCTTTCTCCTCTGTAAAAAAAAACGCCGACAGCTAGTTGTAAACAAAACCGGAGAAGAGAGCGGAGGAGGAGAGCCATAGCTGCTAAGATATATGCTGGGCTGAGAGGCTCATCAAGGGAACTACAATTTCCCTAAGCACTGCGACAACAATGGGCAAATTATGCTATGCGCACGTGCGCACCTTGCAAGGTGCGCACGTCTCTAAAACGGCGTCGTTTTCCCTGAAAACGACGCCGTTCTAATTATAAAAAAAATTGTTCGAAAGGCCGTTAACAGCGTTAACAACGTATTCATTATGAAATTATGAATGTAGAGTTATGACATTATGAATGTACAGTTATAGAATTATGAATGTACAGTTATGGAATTATGAACTTACAATTATGAACATAGAGCTTCGAAAATTATGAATGTTCGTATGGAATTATGAATATACAAGTATAGAATTATGAATGTACAGTTATGGAATTATGAATGTACAGTTATGAAATTATGAAACACAGAACTCTGACATTATGAACTTACAATTATGAACATTAGAGCTTCGAAAAATTATGAATTTACAGTTATTGAATTATGAATGTACAGTTATGAAATTATGAATGTACAGTTATAGAATTATGAATGTACAGTTATGAAATTAAGAACACAGAGCTGTGAATATATGCTCCTATAACGAAGCGGTCTGAAATTAAAAAAAAAAAAAAAAAAAAAAGATAACGGTGCCACTGACGGCACCATTACCGTGCCCCATGATGCCACTTGGGCACGAGTCCACAGCATAACGATCCACAACAATGAGGTCCTCAAGGCTCTCTGTCATGAAGCAGGCTGGACCGTCGAGCCCGACAGCACCACTTATCGCAGGGGTTCTTCTTCTTCTTCTTCTTCTTCATATATGTGGAAATCAAAGAATGAATTTTTGTTCACTTCATCTCTGCTAATGGGATTTAACCTGGGGTGCCATAGATCTAGATATTTTACCGACATGGGTTTGCTTTGTTTGGATCATACATTGATGCCTGATTAGCTTTTTCCAAGATTTGATCCAGAAAAGATTGATTCTTTCTTTGATATATAGGGCTATATGCTACTTTTCCTTTTCCTGTCATTGTATAACCCATGGCCCTGCTTTTCAACTGTTTCTCCGCTGAATTTATCCATATGTCTCCTCAATTCTTGAAAGATTTTATGGATTACACACCTTTCCAAAAATTCATATCGATTGGGTTTTGTTTACAGCTAGCTGTCGACATTTTTTTACAGAGGAGAAAGGCTGAAGATGAGAGAAGTAATAGGGAAAGAAAACAAGAAAGCTCATCGGAGAAGCCGGAAATGGGGAGAAGTGATCGGAGAAGAAACAAAAGATAGTAAAATGTTTAAAATACCCTATTTTTTGACCTATTAAATTTTTTCGGTGAGATTTGGCAGGCAATTTGGTTGGCGTGATCAAAATTGCATAGTGAAGGTACTAAATTAACATTTTTTAAAGTCAAAGTGTTGCAATTAACACAATTTCAATAGTCAGTAGATCAAAATTGAAATTTTTCTCTTTTAAAGAAATATATATTATTTTCTATTATATATTATATTGAATATGCACAGATCTTTATTCGTGTGAGAGGCCGGATCAAGTTAAAAAATGTAATAAAAATCATAAATAAAGTATCCATTATTTATAAAGGAAATAAAGTATTACATTTTCCATATACTTCTCTTATAAGTATTACATTTTCATCAAATTCGATTTGTTTACTGGACCGAATCATCTTGTAAAAAACTTTAATTGGATTACAAAATTAACGGTTTCAACAATAATTCAATTGATACAACGGGTTAACAATAATATTGTCATGCATGATTATAAATATTATGCCCGCATGAGCAGCTCAACTTGTTCATAGGAGTAAAGTTTGGAAAGAATGACCAGAGATTATTGAGTCTCACTAGCGATAATGTGGAAGCAATCTCTCACGTAGTAAACTGATTTACAATTATCCTCCCAGATGCTGGGTCGTTATATCGTGGACCGCGGTGCATAATCAATTATGCACCGCGTAGTGTTAACGGAGTGACACTACAGTGTATCTAAACCGACAATGTCTCGCATATTATTTTATATTATCAAATGAAACTGCAGTTATATCAAAATGATACTGTAGTTGTGGTGAAATGAAACTGCAGTATATATACAATGGAACTGAATAATATTCACATATTTGAGTGTATATTCTACAATGAAGCTGTAATTATATCAAAATGATCATGTAGTTGTGTTTAATGAAACTATAGTGTATATAAAATAAAATTAAATAACATTTTCACATATTTGAGTGTATAAATATTGAATAAAACTGTAGTTGTGTTGAACTAAAACTGCAGTGTATACAGGGCCGGTCCTATCATTTTATAGGCCCAGGGCGTATGAACAAAAATGGGCCCTATATTAAATTAATATATATTTTTATAATTAAAATTTAAATTAAATAAGGAAAAAATACTAATGTTGACGTGAAATAAGATCACAAGTTTTTAATGATTATACATACAAATGAAAGTAATTCTAGATGCATTCTTAAATTTAAAATAGCCAATAACTGCATTCAATGTTTTCATAAATAAAAAATTATTGTTTATAAAAATAAATAAATAATTTAAAACTAAATGAGCTTATAGAGAATCACATTATTATTATAATAAAAAATAAAGTAATTTTGAATAAAAATTTATAAAACAAACCTTACAAATAAAAGCATAGCAAAAAATCTTAATTATTGAGAGTAATAAATCAAAATACTCTAAACGTAATAAAAATATTTATAATAAAATATGAAACATAATTAATTTGATAAAATAGTTCAAATAAAAAAGACACAATAAATCACACCTCTTCTATATTGATGTCATATTTATAAATACTTTTTTTTCTTTTAGTTAGATCAATTTCAAAATTTTTTTGATTAATTTGAATACGATGATACACAATAGGACTTCTAAACTACATTGACTAAATAATTCATAAAAAACTAAACTAAAATTACTTTTAAAATATTTTTCATAACTAAATAACAAAATATATTACATATACATAAATCAGTATAAAGTTCACAAAATAATACATATTTTAAATAAAAGTAGTAAATTACTCGAATATAAATATATTCAAAATTTGATATGAATCACAAATCAATCTATATTATAAATCTCATTATAATTATAAAAAGGTAAAAAAATATCACAAAGTTACAAATTAAATTTTAAAAAAAATACAAATTAAAAATTTAAATAAATTTAATAAGTTACAAATTTAATACTATATAACAATAATATCCATAAATTCAATTTTAATACTATATATAATAATATCCCTAAAGAGTAACTGAGTGAGGAAAATCTTAAAGCCAATTCATCACACACATATAAAGAGACTTGACCCCAAACCTCACTCATTCAAACAACAAACTCTACCAACTCGGCTGACTTACAACACTTTAACATAATTGTATACTAAATATTATACCAATATCTATAGTATATATAAAAGGTATTGGGATAGGGTGGTGGGCCCCTTCCAAGAGTGGGCCCTGGGCAAGGGCCCAGCCTGCCCTTGCCCAGGGCCGGGTCTGAGTGTATACAAAATGATAAGAATAAAGTTATATTTTTGCTGATTCCGTTTCTTTTCCATTAAATAAGACGGCATCGTTTTGATGCGAGGTGCATAATCGATTATGCACCGCGGTGCACGATATAATTTGACCTAGATGCTCTGTCGAGTCCTTAGGGTTGAGGATTCAACATTTTGGGGAGAATGATTATAAATATTAAATATTATTTTAAAGACCCTTTCAACATATGAACCAGTTCACAATCGCTATGTACGTAGTATTCTGAACTCTGCATGCGGGACTATGGAGTCACGATCACTCATCCATGCGGCCGCATGAAGAAATGTGGAATTGAATTGGGAGAAGACGACAAATAGAAGGTTTGTTCTGTCGGGTCCTCCACGTGTAATTGAATTTCAACATTCAAGTCCTTCTGACTTCAATTCCTTCAATCTCAGATCCATCTAACAAGTTTGGCAACTAATTAAACTCTTCAAAGTTCTCCGCGCGAGTTTAGCTCACTGGTTCAAAAAGTAGTATTTAAAAGAAGAAATCAAAGTTCAAACTTCGACAATGGCAATGTGCAGATTATATTCAAAGCGGACAGATTCATTGTGCAGATTATATTCAAAGTGGACAGTCCTGTCTGCTGAACCATTGAGTCACCGTGATTTATATCCTTCTACATGTTCTGTCAGGTCGAGATGTGAGGACCCTTGAAAAGTTCAATCTGCTGAACCATTAAGTCACCGTAATTTATATCTTTCTAAATGCTCTGTTGGACGGAGTGTGAGGGACCTTCGAGGTTGAGAATTCAACCTTCTGGGAGAAGTTCTAGGGCATTTGAAGGGCCAAGACTTACTGGGCTGTGTTCATACAAATTATTATATGAAATTAAAGCTGTTCAGACCCATTCAAGTCGTGGCAACATGGCCATGTTACATATAAATATGCTTACTCTTCGCATTTAATTACTCCCACCCACAACAATTCCTTCATTTACTTCACATAATTTCTTAGCCAACAAAAACAATCATGAAGCTTAAAATCGTTACTCTTGGTATTGTGACTGTCATGTATCTGCTTTTTCTTCTGACCACCTACCCCTATGATGGAGACAGTAGAGATGTTTATGGAACTGGTGAACAAGAATGGATGATGAAGAATCATCTGATGTTGCCGTCTCCCAATGGTGCTGATCTGAACGAGAAGAATTTTGTAACTACAAAGAAAGGAGGGTTTCAGTCCAAAAAGGAATATCTTTTCTTACAATCTTTGCAGACATGGCGATCTAATTCTGAGCCAGGATCCAACCCCGAGCACAATGCAGTTGGTCCCGCTGGTGAGAAGAACTTTGCAGGATTGGAGTTGAAAAAGAAACGTGTTTTACTACTTTCCCTTCAAAAGCAGGGACCTGTTACTTCTCCCGGACCGAACCGAAAGCACAATTCAATTAAGCCTCCACCACCCAATCCAAGCCATAAACACCGCGTCAACACATTCCCTGAAAAGAACTTTGCAAGTTCTGAGTTGAGAAACCAACATGTTTTACTACCTTCCCTTCAAAAGGGGGGACCCGTTACTTCTCCAGGATCCAACCCAGGATACAATTTACCACCCAGTCCAAGTCATAAGCCAGTCAGCACATTCAATGAAAAGAATTTTGCAAGTTCTGAGTTGAGAAGCCAACATGTTTTACTACCTTCCCTTCAAAAGGGGGGGCCTGCTACTTCTCCCGAACCAAACCGAAGGCACAATTCAATTAAGCCTCCACCACCCAATCCAAGCCATAAACACCCCGTCAGCACATTCACTGAAAAGAACTTTGCAAGTTCTGAGTTGAGAAGCCAACATGTTTTACTACCTTCCCTTCAAAAGGGGGACCTGTTACTTCTCCCAGACCAAACCGAGGGCACAATTCAATTAAGCCTCCACCACCCAATCCAAGCCATAAACACCCCGTCAGCACATTCACTGAAAAGAACTTTGCAAGTTCTGAGTTGAGAAACCAACATGTTTTACTACCTTCCCTTCAAAAGGGGGGACCTGTTACTTCTCCAGGATCCAATCCAGGACACAATTTACCACCCAGTCCAAGTCATAAGCCAGTCAGCACATTCAGTGAAAAAAACTTTCCAAGTTCTGAGTTGAGAAGCCAACATGTTTTACTACCTTCCCTTCAAAAGGGGGACCTGTTACTTCTCCCGGACCAAACCGAGGGCACGATTCAATTAAGCCTCTACCACCCAATCCAAGCCATAACCACCCAGTCAGCACATTCAGTGAAAAGAACTTTGCAAGTTTTGAGTTGAGAAACCAACATGTTTTACTACCTTCCCTTCAGAAGGGGGGACCTGTTCCTTCTCCAGGACACAATTTACCACCCAGTCCAAGTCATAAGCCTGTCAGCACATTCAGTGAAAAGAACTTTGCAAGTTCTGAGTTGAGAAGCCAACATGTTTTACTTCCTTCCCTTCAAAAGGGGGGATCTGTTACTTCTCCCAGACCAAACCGAGGGCACAATTCAATTAACCCTCCACCACCCAATCCAAGCCATAACCACCCAGTCAGCACATTCAGTGAAAAGAATTTTGCAAGTTCTGAGTTGAGAAACCAACATGTTTTACTACCTTCCCTTCTAAAGGTGGGACCTGTTACTCCTCCAGGACCCAATCCAGGAAACAATTCAGCACCCAGTCCAAGTCATAACCCAGTCAGCACATTCAGTGAAAAGAACTTTGCAAGTTTCGGGTTGAGAAGCCAACATGTTTTACTACCTTCCCTTCAAAAGGGTCCTGCTACTTCTCCAGGACCTAACCCTGGACACCATTCAATTAGTTCAATTCATCATAAGAACTTTGCAGGTTTGAAAATGAGAAAGAACCATATTTCTCTTCCATCTATGAAACTGCGGCCAATTACTCCTCCATGAACAACTCTTGGTCAAAACTCAGGGTGCAACATGCGTACTAAAAAGAACTTTGCAGATAGGAAAATGGCTTCTGCACATCCTCCTCCATTTCCTCTGGTGGTTAGTTGCATCTCTAAAGGCTACTAGCTAATTAAGTTACAGTATTAAATTTCAGCGGATACTGTCCATTTATTTGTTCTTTCTGTCTCTTTTTCTTCTTTTGTTTTTTCAAATTTATTGTAGTGACTGAATAAAATAAAATGAATGTAATAATTAATGATCTGAAATATGGAGTATGAAATAAAAGTGTCATGTTTAGTTCTATTATATAATTTGTTGTCTATATCTGCATATATATTTGCATGCGACAAAGAAAATTTAGAAAATTTCATGACTTAATAATATAATAAATGAATAATAAGAGTAAAATTAGTCACGAAACTATATATAAAAATGCAATTAGATCATCCATCTCAAAAAATATAAATAACTCCATAAACAAGCAAAAATATTGTAATTAGTTCAAAAGTGACATGTCTACTACGTAAATTGCTAAGATGGCGATTAACCTTTGATACATTATTTTATTTATTTATTTTATTAATTTTAGATATTAAAAAAAAAGTGACCCCTTAAAATATCAATATACGAGTAATATTTTAAAAATATAATGTAGAATCCAGACTATGTCTCGGATATCAGAATATTCATTTTTCTAGAATATCATTTTGAAATAGCAGTGCTATTCATATTTTAGATCATTGTTGTTGTATTGCATCTTTAATATGAATTCAAATTTAGTTGATTCTTATTATTCTAGACAAAATTTTATTGTAAAAGTTTATGGTATAAAATTAAGAACTAAGAGAGAAAAGTTCTTAGTTCTTCAAATTCTCTAATTAGTGCAGATTAAGGCACAAATTAATGAGGAAAAGTGTTTCGAAGGGCAATTTGATCATACGATAGCATCAACCCAAAACAAAATAATGTAAACATATCTCATTATCCTTTTCAAAGGTACACTAGCAACAAAAGGAAAACCCCCAAACACATGACCTCACGCCGGTAGAGATAACAATGCCCTCCAACTAATGTACAACCCAACGCCTTACGTTACACCACACCTAGCACACTACTGCATAGCCTAATGTCCTATGATGCACCCTCCTAAAATCATAAATTTGTTTTTATTTTTTATTTTTTTTTTTGCACACCTCACATCTTTTTTGAGAAATTCGAAGCAAAATATTCAGAAATTCAAATCGCACCAGAAATATCAATTAGCAGAAACATCCAGAAACTGACCCAACTTTTTGAATTTTTTGAAAAATATTGGTAACAAATTTTGAGACCAAATTTTCCATATATCAAGTTTAACAAAACTACGACAGGCACAAAAAAAATTCAAAGCAAAACAATGAACGTAACTAATTTTTTCTGATTTTTCAAAGTTGATCGCGCAAAACTGCAAATTTCTGACAGATTGTGTTTTTTCTACTCAAAATAAAGTTTGAGATGGATTATAACTTATTGGAGCATGAGGAAAATCTAGGCTCTGATACCAAATGATACAAAACTGGTTGGCTTGATCTTTTCTTTTTTTCAAACTCTAATATAAAGAAGAGTTAATACCCAAAATAGTCCCTCGACTATGTCGTAATTACCAATTTGGTCATCGACTATCATTCTTACCCAATTAAGTCCTCAACTATACAATTTTTACCCAATTTAGTCCTTTGTCAATTTGACTGTTTGTTGACTGTCAAAAGTGGAAATAAAGTTGTAATTTTACAAGTTTTCTCCTTCCTCCTCATTTAGCAGCGCCAAAACATGTAGCAATAAGCTCCGGTTGGGTTCTAAACCTGTCAGTATCGAAGTAGTGGTTATGCATCGGATAACCCATGAATTTGATTTCCAACGATTTTTTGACGATCGAAATCTGATCGGAGTGTATTGCTGCATGGTTTGGCGCTGCTAAATGGAGAGGAAGGAGAAATCTTGTAAAATTATAATTTTATCCCGACTTTTGACAGTCAACAAATAGTCAAATTAATACAGAGGACTAAATTGGGTAAGAATTGTATAGTTGAGGACTAAATTGGGTAAGAATTGTATAGTTGAGGACTTAATTGAGTAAAAGTTACATAGTTGAGGACTTAATTGAGTAAGAATGGTAGTTGAGGACCAAATTGGTAATTATGACATAGTCGAGGGACCATTTTGGGTATTAACTCTATAAAGAATCTCATAGAATGGCTTATTTTGTTGGGTGAATTTGATTCAAAGGTTTAACTTGGGCTGGGAAAGGGTTGGGTGAATTTGATTCAAATTAAAGCTTTAACTTGGGCTGGGAAAAAAGGCTAATTTTTTTTTTATTTTGATAAGTTCACGGCCACAACGGATTATAAGGTGATACATGGAGTAAGAACGACGCCACAAGTGAGGTTTTATACTTGATAAGTCAAGATGGCCATGACCGACTCACGACCGAATTGAACTCATTTCGAGTTCAAAAAAACACTCTGTTTTCTAACTCAAAAAATTCAACTCTCTATTTTATTCATATAAGACAGCGATATTTATAGTTGTAGATCCTAGTTTCATTAGACACTTCCCAAAAGAACTAGAAATTCTAACAACTAAAAACAAACTAATTATGATAAACATAAATAACAAACAACACTAAAACTCCTAAATCTAATTTAATATAAACTGACTAACTATAAAAAGCACACAATCAATTTAAATCACAAATTAACTAACTAAATAATGAATATAATAATTCCCAAAAACTAATTAATTTAAAATTATAATGGCACCATAATTTATTAACAACTCAATCATGGATTGGCTCACATGTTCGCAACAGTTGGCTACCCTAGTTCCAGTGTCTTGTCACTTGGATACTGCCACGGAACCATTTCCCAACCCTACAGGAGTCTAGCCGGGGCTTTGTAGTACTTGACGGTGACTCGTCTTGATATGTCTTTTGCTATAAACTAACTGTGCCAGCATATGCATGCTCCTTCTGTGGCACATTGGTCTCAACTGAAGTGTGTGCTGCGGTCTATTAAGGGTACCTTACACTTTGGGCTTCGTTTGTGCAAATCTCCTACAACTGATATTCATGTGTTCTCTAATTCGGATTGGGTTGGCTGTTCGTAGATCGAAAGTTTAGGAGTTGTTTTGCAGTGTTCATGGGCTCAAATTTATTCTCATGGGTGTGTCGAAAGCAGCGCACATTTGCCAGGTCTGAGGTAGAATACAAGGCCCTTGTTGATGTCGGTGCGGAAATCACGTGGATTGTTTCACTATTGCGTGAGCTGGGTATTAGCCAGTGCCTGTCCCGAAACTGTGGTGTGACAACCTTGGTGCTACTTATATGTGTGCCAATTCGGTATTTCATGCGCGCACGAAACACGTGGAGTGATTATCACTTTCTTAGGGATAAGGTAGCATCGGGGGAACTTCAGGTTAACTTTATTTCAACCAAAGATCATCTAGCGGATATCTTCATTAAGGCACTTCCGGCTTCGCGGTTTGCGGCTCTGCCGAACAAACTTCATGTTGTCGGTTCAACATGAGCTTGCGGGGGATTGTTAGGACTCTTGTACTCCTAGTTGTAGTATAAAACTTCCTTTCGTATTTGTTATATCTTATTGTATCCTTATCAGGTTAATGCATGTTTAATTACCTAAGTCTAATCGTCACATCAAAGAGTAAAAGTGATGGAGTAGAAATTAAGAATCTATATAATAGAACTCTATCAAATAAAAATTGACCCTTTTAACTACAATTAGATGGACAAAATTCAATTAGATTAAAAGACATTGATCGAATTAAATATTATTTTAAAATAAAATTGTAAAGTAGAATTGTGTTTTAACCCAACAGGGTAGCTCAAGTGGCAAATGAGCTCTCTTTGTGGGGGAGAATTCCAGGATAACATGGGTTTGATTCCCACAAGTGACGATCCCTTTTGGGCCGTCTTCTGTGTCTCTCGGAGCGAACCGAGTGGACCTACACCGTTAAACGGATAGAGAAAGACCCGGACCACAATGTGTGGTTGACACAAAAAAAAAGTAGAATTGTTCAACATAAATGAGATTCCTAAGATATGGTCCGTCGGGTCCTTGACGTACGTGTAAACGTCAACAACATACGAGGGAATAAGTGAAATTCAATATTCAAGCAATGAGTTTTTTGCACTTTTAGTCCCACGACTATAGTGGCACTGGCAGAATTGATCCACGACTTTTGAACCTTGTAATTTTAGTCCACGACTATTGATCTTTTTGCAAAAATGGTCCTTCCGGCCACTTTTCCGTCAAAATTTCACCGGAAAAAAAAATTCTCTATTTTTAGCTGGGTTAAATGCGGCGGCGGAGTACATGTACCAGTCCAAAGCTGTTGCCGGATAACCCAACTAGCCCGGGGAACGCCACGGCCGCTCCGCCACTTACTGACAGCCCTGCCTGCTCCAGGAACTCCGCCGTCTGGGACAGTAGTATGTAGCCCAGTAATATTGTATGTAGTCAAATATCAATTTTTTTCTTTTAATTTGTTGAGATAAGTAAAATGTCAATTTTAACCCGGCTAAAAATGAAGAATATTTTTTTTTCCGGTGAAATTTTGACGGAAAAGTGGCCGGAAGGACCATTTTTGCAAAAAAATCAATAGTCGTGGACTAAAATTGCAAGGTTCAAAAGTCGTGGATCAATTCTGCCGGTGTCACTATAGTCGTGGGACTAAAAGTGCAAAAAACTCTATAGCAATCAAGCCCTTGAGTTTTTGGATTATTGTTATACTTCAATTCCTTCACTCTCAAACAGACACTTGATAAGTTGTTGGCAAGTTCTACGCGGAGGCCATTTGAAGGGCCAAGAGTACTTATTGGGTTGTGTAGTCATACAAATATACTGAATCCAAAACCCATAAAACATATGCTCCAAAATACATAAACGTCTACTTCACGAGCTCGGACCCATTCAACTTGCAATTGTTATACGGTGGATCATGGT